CCCAGGGTGTATAGTATATTATGGCAAACTCTCTCATATAGAGGATAAGACTCTAATTTAGCAGTGAAGTGTAGTGATACTTCTCTGCACAGTGGTGCTGATGTTGGGATTTGGGATGTCGAAGAACGTCGAAAGTCCTAAAGTTGCGACTTTAATAGTCATATATATTTGTGAAATCTTAACGAAAGTATAATCACAGTAATGCCTTCGGCGTGACATAGTGTCTAACATACCTTACGTAGGTACGATAAAACAAAATCATGCTCAATGCGCATGCGCAGGCCTAATAATTATATTGAATTTTGATCCTATTTATATCAATAACGAGATAAAAATCCTAATCCCTAGGCTTAAAATAGATTATAAATATTGTTTCCATTTACATCAGTATACTTTGTTACCTAGATACATTAGAAACCTATAGATATTCATATTAATTTCTAGATAAGAATAATTACAATGACCTCAAACAGATGATAAAGTACCTAATTTCTTGAAAAACCCAGATAGATTAGTCCTTAAATTAGATCCAACTTTAACTCGTCGAGTACCGGTTTTGTAGACACAATTATAGAACAATAGGTTGCGGTCACCGGTGACCGCTTGGTGTTTGACAGTTTAAATGTGTCCGTGGCAACTATTGACTACTTCTATTTATTTATCATACTCTTTATTTTTCAAGGCTTCATATGATATGACTGCCTCACTGGTTCAGTAATGGTAAGGAGCCTGAAATTGCCCAGTCTATGGCATTAGGCTCCTCCTATATGGAACTCATAAGACACCTTCTATAAAGTGGAAATTACACCGACAATGTGTCCATGTGTCCTCTGTCTACCCCTTTAAGGACTTAAAGGTGTGACGTTGTACGTAGGCAATATAATTCGTGTGTCGTGGTGGCCCGAACTTTTAAGACCCTAGCTTCTCATGCAACGAGGGGGCGGATTCGAAACCTACCAACGGCAAGTACCAATGTGACTGTTTCCGAGTTATATGTAGGTACATTCTAAGATTATTTAGACACCACTGTCAAACGGTGAAGGAAAAACATCATGAGGAAACCTGGGCTTTCTAATTATAAGTTTAAAATAGCCAACCCGCATTGAGCAAGCGTGGTGATTAATGCTCAAACCTTCTCCGGGTGAGAAGAGGCTTTGCTCAGCAGTGGGCATTTATAGGCTGTTGATAATGATGAATATAATTGGAAATAATCAATTTAGTTGCCAGATTAGACTACCAATCCTGCTATCATTACTAGACTTTCAACTTTATGCTTTCCGAAATATAGTTGGAAATCAATTATAGCAATTGTACTGTTTAGTATAGCTTGATTAGCTGCTGGTATAACGTGTTCATTGTGCCGTGACATTGACAAGTCGGTCAGACGATCCATTGCGTTATGTAATGTCCGCGCAATTCACGTTGCGAAATATTATTGTAATAATGCGCGCCATTTTTGTTATAACTATTTGCTTTTCTATTAGCGGAGCCAGCAAATTGTTTGTAGGTTCAAGTAAGGGACGAATGGGCCGGCTCCACCGGAGTGATACCACGGCCGAGCAGAACACCAACGTGAAACAACGCTTGTGATGTTTCGTCATGTAAGTGCGGTTACCGGAGGCCCAATTATCCCCTCTAATCCAACTTTCCCAGCCTCTGAATCCCTGACAATCCTTAAATTCCTAATCCCCAAAAAGCCGGTATCGCTTGTAACTCCTCTAATATTGCGGGTATCCATGGGCGACGCCGATTGCTTATCATCAGGTGATGCGTCTGCGCGTTTACCGGCTTATCCCATGAAATAATATATGGAGTCAATACAGGTCTTTATGAAGCCTAAAGAACAAAAGAGCACCGACAGGTTGTAACACTGCATGCTTAGCCTTTTAGTAGGGACCTCCTTTATATGTATAAGTGGGATTTAAAAAATAATTAATTATTGTTTTTTACGCTTATGAAACTGAAAAACAATAGGGGTTGAATTAGTCAATGAAATTAAGCAAAATGTAGCAATTACTTAACAGGAAAGCTCATTGGTTTAGGTACTCTAAACTTATGTACCTACCTATGCCACGTTCTGGGGAAAATAGATAAGATCTAAAATGACTAGTATAACTATCGAAACACAATGAAAATAAACCATAAGTACATAACAACAAACTGAATGCAAAGTTTTTTTCTACAAAATATAACTCATAACCGCAGACATGAGTCCTTCGAGACACGATATTGCACAAAAACAAATACATATATAAACGTCTCATTTGACCTTTAAAATATTAATACACAACACACTAATATGCGCAGACTTGCAATTATTGGAAGTACAAAAAGTGATTCCACAAGAAACTATGCATTTAAACCGTGTTTTGTAAATATATGTATAATCATTACTAAAGTTATAACTCTATGACTGCCTCGTTGGCCGAGTGGTCGCAAGTGCGACTGCTGGGCAAGGGGTCTCGGGTTCGATTCCCGGGTCGGTCAAAGTATCACTGGGTTTTAAAAAAAATCTCAATAGTAGCATGGAGTCTGGAATTGTGCCCGGTATATGGCAATAGGCTCACCCCCTATTACATGGGCCTCATAACATAAATGATGAAAAGTGGGTGTTACATTGTACAGTGGTATAATTTGCACCGTGGTAGGCAGACCTACCCCCACACTAGGACTTTCTCCTGTGTCGTGGGTGCGTTTACAAACATACAAGTTCACATACACAATGACACCCAGACCCGAAACAACAATTTGTGGATCACACAAAGTGTTGTTCCGTGCGGCAATCGAAGTCAATTCTTTCTTTAATGATAAGTTGTAATAAATTCCTTTAAAAATGTAAATTTTCAATCCTATTAACGTGGACTGTACAATGAACCTTAAAACCTCACCTATTTAAACCCTCCCCCCCTTCCTCAATCCCTGAATCCCTAACAATCCTCAAATCCCTAATTCTAAAATGCCGGTAACGCACTTGTAACGCCTCTGGTGTTCCAGGTGTCCATGGGCGACGCAGATAGCTTACCATCACGTGATCCGTCTGCTCGTTTGCCGGCTTATCCCGTAAAAAAAACTTTTTAACATCTAATAATATGTACCTATATTCATGGCAAATAAATAAATCTATTCAATTGTATTCTATCTTATTAGATAAAAAGAATAAAACTTAAGTTACATAATCTAATTCCCATAGATACTTTGTTTATTGTTTATTTATGAAAATGTGAATAAAAAAGTTGCCACAATCTTATTTCAAGGCTAACACAAGTCGAAATCTAGGTTTTATCAAGACTGTAAACAATTAAATAAACAAAAACGTGTTTAATATCAATAAACCTGTTGGCGACTTTTAGATTCAAAATTATTTACAAAAATAATATTTCACAACATTACGTTATATTTCTATTTTCCATATAAAATTATATTATTTTACCCACCCATATTAAATAGACTATCTCGTTGGCCGAGTGGTCGCAAGTGATAGTTCGATTCCTAATACAGGGTGCTTACTCTTGAAACCAATCTCAATGTCAATGCAATTTCAATCCAATAAAACCTCAATAATTATTCGATGTCAAAACTATACAACGCCTATCGTAGCTATTAAAATAGCACTCAGAGGACGGAATATAAAGCCAAACTCAATACCATTTAGTTCATTAAATATTCATGCAATACGGATGCAATGGGCGCTAGTGTTGCAACTCAAGAGTACGAAATTTCACAATACCAATGTCGATCGATCGGTATTGAATTCAAGAGTAAGCCCCCAGGTCAGTTTATTGCCATATACACCGAGTTATATTCTGAAACTCCATGTTTATATTGAAACTAGCAAACCCGGCAAACTCCGTTTCACCACCAGATGGCTTCGTTTTATGTAACATTTCGTTTGGTGATAAAAAGATGAAGAAATTTATTTTTCCTGAATTTTCTTTGCTATAAACCGCACGGAGCCCGACACCTTTCCAACGAATGCAATACCGTATAAATCGGTTCGTGCGTTCTGGAGTTATAGCGTCAGGAAGGAAAACCCGGCTTTTTTTATATACCTCTAGTAGATTATCGATTCGACGAACCCTTTGTTCAGCAGTCGCACTGCCGACTTGGCTAATCCACTCTAATAAAATCCCACAGTCCCTGGTCTTTTTCCCCAAAAAGCTAGGCGCCTTTGGAAGGTTTCCCCCCGTCAACAAAAAAAAAGGTCCAAACTCCTCTAAAAAACAAAATAAGCTTCATGCCTAAAATGTACAAATAGCTGGACTTAATGCCGCAGGCATTTCCTACCAGTCTGAGCTTTGGGTGATGCAGAGAAGAGTAAATGGTAGGTGCAAGAGGCAAGCAATGATTTTATTTCTAAACCATCTCAGCTTTAAGATATTCAAATCCATCGTCAAAGACAGTAAACCCATCATCAATGAAACGTGACCACTAACAATCAAGAGTTACAAAACGTGGACAAAACAGACTAAAGTTCAAATGAATCACTGACAAACAAATTGCTAGTACCTATCATTTTGTCACGGCCGCACTTTGCTCCCAGATAATTGATGAACAATATTGTTTTTGCAAAAAGAATCATACATCCTGCAACAATTAGGTCAAAACTCAGAGTTAACAGAAGTCTATACAGTTAGAAATAAATAAAACCGCTTTATACTAGTGTTTAACCACAACTTTGTCCTTACGCAAAAAATCAAGTTTTATCCGTTATGTTATTAATTATTCAACGATTCGTTTTGGATTTAATTCGACGAGTAATCGATCGACGACAACTACTATTCGGCACATCGTTTGTCACGTAATCATTCATGACTATAAGCCCCTGGCATGGCTCGAAACTAGTTGAATTACGGCGTCAACCTATTACGTAAGCCAAACATTGACCTTTTTTATGAAACTGGATGCAAACGCGAAGTACTATCGCTTGATGGTAAGCAACATACGTAGTAATAAGACAAACAAACATATAAACAGTCAAATACACAATATCTACCACTTACCTCGTAAAACCATCCGAATTTATCATATGGAATGTCGAAGGGAAGTTCAGGGATCTTCAACGCGATGTCCAGGACTCTATCCTCTATGCCATCAAAGAGCCAGGATGTGACGTTGGCCGTCTGGAACATGTGCGGATGAAACATCCTCAGGAACAAGTCCACGGACACCTTCAGTGGTAACCGCTGCTTCCTCATCAGGTACGCCACCGTCTATGAAATAAATTAACAAGATTTAGATATAACAAGGATTAAGTGGCCGTTTTCACCAACTACCCATAAACCATGTATTAACTAAGAGTTCTTTAGCGAAAGCGGGCACCTAAACATATCCCTTACCCGTACTGTTACTAATTATTATAGGTAGCTGAAACTGGAAATGTCGTCGAGTGTCTAGGAAGTTAGGTAAGCATTAGAATCCTATTTTTTAAATCATGCAGTTAAATAGAAGATGAAGTAATAATAGTAATGTATTTAGGTAACATTATTTATGTTTTTCCATTGTTTAGCACCGTCTACATTGTAACATTCGTTACACACTGTGTCAATAATACAATCGGTCATTCTCAGATCTCTTATCAGTTGACGAGGAATGTACAGTATGACAAGCTTCGAGGTTTGTCCCGATGTAAAGAAAGAATCATGATAATAACATGTGCCAACTGTACAACTATATTTTTAAAGTTGTCCCACAATAGGATTTTTTCCTATGTCGTAGGTGACTTACGACTACACAAATCCACATACACCTCACAGTTCGGAACAACAATTTATGGATCATACGACTGCTGCGCAATGTACCAATATGTGATTTTATATAATACTAGCGACCCGCCCCGGCTTCGCACGGGTGCAATATGCATGTATTATACATACAAACCTTCCTTAAGAATCACTCTATCTATTAAAAAAAACCGCATCAAAATCCGTTGCGTAGTTTTAAAGATCTAAGCATACATACGGACATACAGCGAAAGCGACTTTGTTTTATACTATGTATTGATGTGATTTTGATCACTGCAATCTACAAAGTCGGTTGCTTGCCCACTGTGTTAATCAGCAGTTGACACCTTGTCTTCTGGCTGATATGCTGATGATGATGAAGTGCCAACTTACCTAACGTGACCAGACGTCCCATTTTAAAAGGAAGGTTTTTGTTCTGTTGTGCAGTGTTAAAATTTCAATCAAATGATACTTATTTTGGCATACCTACCTGAGTCACAAATGTTTGACGAAGTAACGTGGAAAAAACGTTAAGTACCTACATTTTTGTGCAGTTAGTAATGTTAACCTTTTTACTGTGGGCAAAGTTTGTGTACAAGGTCTACAATAGGGTGTAGCTACCAGATGCCTGACTATATCTAAATACGAAACCCGTCGTCCCGTTGAAATATGTCTCGTTTTGTTTTCCCGCCAATAAAACAAAGGGTGACGTTAAACTTACCGCAATAACAGGGTTGATGCTGGTGATGTTATCACCGATGGTTCCAACTGACATTTCAGGTTTGAAGTGCCAGAACCGCTGGTTGTAGAACGTGAGGGTACTGTTGTCATTCCACGTCAGATTCACCTGGACAACAATGTATTGAATATAAATATTTTTTTTATATTAGATAAGACTGGCGTTTGAACACATCTCGCCTGATGGTAAGCGATGATGTGGCCTACGATGGAGCACGTCGGGCCATAAGCAACCTATTTATTCGGGCCTTGAAGACACCTAGGTTATACTCTATGGCCAAGAATTCCACTCCTTAGCAGTACGCTCAAGTAAGCTAGATGCGAAGCGCTTTGTGCGCTAGGACTAATATACTTACAAGGAAAATACTTAAGGTTAATATCAAAAGGAACAGGTTAATTAAAAGTATAGTTTCCTCCTATAGAACGATTGTTTCGATATCAAATGTGTAGCTAGCTGATACCTGGTAAATAATACTTAGATGTTCCTTAAATAAGTACACCTTTACCAAATGTCATGTTTTCCTGTTCGCTTCACACTTGCACAATTTAAAATTAAATATCGTTGAACATTGGTACTAAGAAGGAAATAATCAAAAGAATGAAGATATTTGGTTTTTAAATTAACTAAAATCGCGGGTTACTCACTTGAATATACTGAGAAAAGTCAGTCAGTGAGCTGCGCGCCGCCGCGATTGCGCACGCTGCTCATGAGGAAGAACCCCTCTGTGGTTCGAAACTAGTAGAGCTTTTCTCAGTATATTCACGTGAGTAACCCGCGATTTTAGTTAATTTAGTATGTCTCACGATAGTTATTTAAAAAAATATTTGGTTTTTTTTACTTTTCGAGGACCGAAACCGCAACGAACAGATCTACAGTCGATCAATCAAAATATGACTTAACGTAATAAGCGCGATCATAAAGTCATGCGTTGGACGATGATTACAATTTTCTCGCTCTCACTTTCAGATCGTGCGAGCTAAAAGAAAAGCAGGTAAGCGCACGCGCAGTGAATTAGATATCTAAACATTCGTTGTAGATGTAGACAATAATAACACTGGTACATTTCATCTATTAAATTGATTTCATTTCATTTCATTTCATTATTTATAGGTAACATTCGATTTTCTGGGCCTAAAATAACATAACATTACTCCTTTTATCCCTGAAGAGGTAGGCAGAGGTGCACATTACGGCACTTAATGCCACTATACAATGTAACACCCACTTTTCACTATTTAGGAAGTGAGCCTATTGCCATATACCGGGCACAATTTGAGACTGCTACTACTGAGATTTTTTTATAAATCCGGAAATACTTTGCCCAACCCGAGACCTCTTGCCTTGCGACCACTCGGCCAAAGAGGCAGTCAGATTTTATAGTCCTAAATATGGTATATTGGTCAAAAAGGGGCGATTAAACTCTCCCTTAGACATCTTGAGACTGAATAATAGACTATTCAATGAATTAATGAATTCAATTTTAAACAATGCGATGTTCTTCTCTTGGGAATAGAACAGCGCATATTTAATAATGCATTAGTTGTTATATTGAGAAAATATAAAGTATCCATGGGACCGAACTTGCACGCATACTGAATCTCGAGTAAGTAAATTATAATTAGTAATTTGAGAAGTGAATCATTATCGATAATTGCTTCCGTTTATTATGATAACATACATTTTGTCTATTCAAAACAAAATGAAGATTCATCAGTCTAGCTAGAATGACTAGATTCTAAGCTAAAGGTCACAAATGAAGCATTTGACCTCGACCTCTTTCGATAACTAAAATTCTCTCGTTAATATTTACTCATGTGAATATTTACTGCAATAGTGATTCATTATGAGTAGGTTGACAAAACACCAATACAATCTAATAGTAGGGGGGCCCACGATGCTAAATTGGGATTTACTTGAGCGTCCTTGGGACCTACTGGATTTTGAAGATATGCTGATAGAAAGAAGAAATGGTTCAGTGACAATTTCTTCCACCAGTGGGGGAAGGGGGAATCTACAGATCTTTGAAATTGTTAAGCGTAACTTTTGTTCTAGTGGTCGAGCGTGTCAGATATTGATAATGTACATGCTCCATGTGTATTTAATAATAAAAAACTCTTAATCTGCCAGTTTGCATGGTGGGGTTGAATGTTCTGGAGAGTACAAACGAGAACCCTTCAAAATCCCCCCACTCTTGCAAATCAAGTTGGAATGGGCAGATTTTTTAAACGCACTTCCTTTAGCACGGTATTGACCTACCTTCCCTTAATCTGACGAAACTGACTTTATTTAGTCAGACTTTTTTTTTAATTTTCAGTCCCCCCCTTCTAATCAGATCAGATATATGTTGGGTATATTCAACATGACACTAGGTTTTCCCCATATGTTAATCTGACGCGCTCGAGTAACTACCGAAATCCCTTCATGGGCTCCCCTACTATAAGTATAAGTACTTAGTAAAAAGATCAAGGTAAATAACATTAAATAGAATACTAAAAAACGCACCTGCATAGTTAATTTTGAGAAAATAAGGTTGGTAGTAGGTAATGTAATCTCTAACCCCATGTCAAGAGTGGAAAATTGGAGGGTATTGCAAAACGTATTTCTCAATGTCAAAGTCAAAATAATTTATTTCAATTAGACCAGGAAAGCAACTTTGAACGTCAACAAAAAAATTTAAAGTGGAGCATGGAGCTATTGAGAATTATAACATAAATAGTGTAAAGTAGGTGTTACATTGTACAGTGGCATTAAGCGCCGTAATCGGTAATGTGCACCTCTGCCTACTCCTACGGGGATAAAAAGCCTCATGCCTGAGAAGCGGGCTACCACGAACACCCACACCCACTTTTCACTATTTATGTTATGAGTCCCATATAATAGGGGGTGAGCCCATTAAGGTCAGGTAATCAGGTAATACTACATAATTATGACATCTCCCATTTATTAACATCTGTTGCCAAGTATAATCAAAGAATAATTTATTGTAATAACACAAGAAATAATCTAACAGATAACAATAAGTAGTATAAGTTCAACTGCAGTCAAGGTGATCGATTAACCTTGGAGTTTGGGGCTAATCAACCGAACTCAGCGTGTTAGAAGTAAATCCTTATCAGTCACTTATCTACTGGATTAAATTACGTAGCTGACAATGTTACTAATTGCCGTTTTCATCTACCTTTTTTATGGGATAAGCCAATAAACGAGCAGACGGATCACCTGATGGTAAGCAATCGGCGTCGCCCATGGACACCCATGGACATTGGGGATTAGAAATTTGAGGATTGTTAGGGAATCAGGGATTGGGGAGATTAAGGAGTGTGGTGGAGAGGTAATTAAGCCTCCGGAAACCTCACGGTAGGTCGATGAAACATAACGCAAGCGTTGTTTTTCGTCAGTTTTCTGTGAGGTCGTGGTATGGAGCCGGCCTCCTAAATCCTCCTAAATTCAACCTCTCCTTACAGGAACGTCGAGAAAGTCCTAAGTGGCACCTAACAGTACAAATAAGGGGTTAGTTTTGATACCACGTCACTCTAAGTAAGTTTTAGGGGATATTTCTCAAGATGGGCAAAGTCTTGTCGTGGATCTTGGATATTTTAATATGATAATTACCTCTATAATAATTATGCTGACACGTCATATTATGACGACACCCGGCCCCAGGTTAAAATCATTTATGAGGGTCATCGGTTAAAAAACCAATATGCAGTTAAGTACATTAATTAGATTCTGAGCCTTACAAAATAATAATAAGATGGCGCATAGACATAGAAACAATGACGTCAACGTTGATGTCATAAATAATACAAATATTATTTACTTTTTATCTGTAGTGGAAGTATATTTACATACAAATACAGACACATACATTATACATTACATATATCTATAATTATACTAAACAAACACTATTATATTTCTGAGATAAGATTTATATCATAAAAAACGAACGAAGAAATAGATTCTTACTATAAACTCATATTATTGTGTGGTTGTTGTTTAATATAATAATAATTAATAATTTATTTATTTATTCAGATAATACAATCCATATGGTTAGTAAAGATATCAACAACTTATAAACTAGTATTAGTACATCACACATCTTCATATAAAATTAAAATAATTAGTCATAAGTAATATAATGATAATATAGTAACAATACTGCTGACTTTCACTACTTCTGGGCACGGTTTGTAGGCAACACTTGCGTCTTCGTCCAGTGTTTTAGCATAAGGCCATCAGTCCTATCCGCCACGGTCATCAGAAGACTGTTGGCGCTGCCCCGCACCCGCTGCATCAGGGAGGCGACACGCTTTCTTATGATTGCGTAGAAATCATCTATGCGTGCATCAGCGAACATCCCCGATGCGCTACAGTGTCGAGGCAGCCCCAACAGTGCCCTGTACGCGTTATTATATTGGACTCGCAAGGCGCTGTAAGCCCTCTGCGTGTAGTCGACCCATAGGCTGCAGGTATAAAAAGATTGACAATATGCCCTGAAAAGTGTAGCCTTCACATCATGAGAACACTTTGCAAACCTGCGGATCAACATATTGCTCCTGACTGACAGCGCCCTACGTTCCCTCTCCATGTCTTTACTATCAGTCTGTGTGTCAGTGACCCAGTGCCCCAGATACTTGAAAGAAGTGACCCATTCCAAAGCAGTCCCCGCAAGTGCAACGGGTGGTATATCATAAGTTTTAGTACCTGCCCTGAAGAGTAGACACTCGCTCTTCCTTGCATTATATCTAAGACCCTGGGCCTCGGCATATCGCTCACACACCGACAACAGCGTCCTGAGGGCGCTGATCGATGGGGCCAGAAGCACCATATCATCCGCATAACTAATGTTGTTGACAAGTGTTCCGTTGATTGAACAACCTACCATAGTGCTGCAGAGCTCACGAACCAGCCCATCCACATATAGACAGAAGAGCTTCGGCGAAGTCAGGCCGCCCTGCCTCACCCCACACTCCAGTCCATACGGATCCGATAGCGAACCCGCCCACCTCACCATATTGGTTTGATGGCCATACCAAAACTTGAACAACTCAATAACCTCACCCGGAACCGTCGTCTCACCATACAGCTTCTTCCACAAAACA